CTCTCTCTCTCTCTCTCTCTCTCTCTCTCTCTCTCTCTCTCTCTCTCTCTCTCTCTCTCCTCTCTCTCTCTCTCTCTCTCTCTCTCTCTCTCTCTCTCTCTATTTCTCTCTCTCTCTTTCCCTTTCTTTCTTTTCTTCTCTCTTTCCCTATCCCCCTCCCTCTCTTTCTCTTCCTCTCCCCCTATCCCTCTCTCTCCCCTCACAAACAAACAAACAAACACAAACCAAAACATCAAACAGATTTAGTATCATTTCTACAAACGACATTGATTGAATCAAATAGCACGATATACGAGATTGACTTGAAAATGTGTAGACAAGAATATAAATCTATAAGAGTAAATCTAACATCTATACAGAGTTTTGTTGCTACCATAATTTCATGACCATTGGGTTATTATTTATTATCATTTTTTAAACTCAGATAGCATGCAAGCAATCGTTATGTCAACGTTTCACTAAAGGCTCATATGTGCAAGACATACCAACATTACTTGCCAACGCTAGCTTATCGAATATTTTCTCAGCTTGTTAATGTGAGAGTAACGCCATTTTGCTGACCGTGACATGCCAACCAAATGCCACAATATGCCAGCGTTGCTTGCAACGTTAGCACAAAGGATATTTGCTCAACTTGTCAACGTGCGCTCAGTGTAAATTTGTCAACCATGACCGCGCCAACCAAATGCCGTGGTTTTGTTCACAATTCGATTTCAGCATGGACATAATATTATATTCAGTAGGATATAATATATTTATGTTCTAGGAATCGAGGGAAATGTTTTTTTTATAGTCAAGCCCAATACGGTAATACTATAGTCTTCATGGGGTGCGGACCGTGAGGAAATCCAAAATAATCTGAAGCTGGGTACGACAGTCACCAGGGGTGAAGGGAACGGGAGTAATCTTTGTAGTGATGGTTGGGAGAGAGCAGTGATGTATGATAAAATAAAATGAATTAAAATAAATATAATAAAAAATATAATAAAATGAGTGATATATATGTCGAGTGGTTTGACTAAGCATAACAGGAAAACATGATTTTGTTTACAATTGGATTTCAACAAGGATATCGAGTAAGCTATGTTCTAGGAATCTAGGGAGATTATTTTTTTATAGTCAAGCACAATACACTGTAATATAATTTACGGGGTGCAGACCGTGAGGAAATCCAAAATAATATTGAGGATTTGAATCTGGGTAC